CTACAGACAGCAAGTGGAAGTCAGTGATCCTAGGGCTACAGCTTTCTGCTGTTAACTTTGTATCTTGAAAGAGACACTGCTTCCTTTCCAGCCCCATAAAACTTTTCAGCATTCAACAGAGTCCAGTTATAAAACCACAAGAAGAAAAAGCATGAAAAACCCTCACAAAATTGCTTAGCACCATCAAAAACAGGTTTCATGTGATAATAAGGATTATCATATTATTCATTTTGTTTCCATGTTAGTATACTACCCCAAAAAAGTACACTAGAAAACCAAGCTCTTCAGTTAGGACCTAACTTAACTTGCCTGATCACATCAAGTGTCCTCACATGAATGAATTATAATGCATTTAACCACATATGTGCCTTTTTCCAACTGTGCTACCCTCTGTGCAATATTCACTCTGTTCAATGTTTTGTCTCATTTTCATTGCCCAGTGCATGACTGCGCACACCATTTATTGCTGTAGTCAGAAGTATTCAGTATTGAGTATTACTTTCACAAGAGAACTTTCTATTAAGCTCATCAGTAAGTTGACCTGTTTCACTTACAGCGTCATTTGCATTTAGGATAAGCATTATGCCTGCTTCCAGCATGAGCAACAGGCAGTATATAAATGTAGGTGGCTATTATGGAAACTTAGGCCCTTATTTTCCACAGTACTTAGGAAATTAGTTTATTTAAATATTCAAAGCACATCATCTCCTGACTCAAAGCACAGCTTCTCCTTGAGAAGACTGAGTGCTCAGCATCTTTGCAAATCAGCCCAGAGCTGAGCACATGCAAGAAAGATGCATATTTAGTGCCGACCAACTAAAAAGCTGAGTGACATGCGAGCATCACATGGGAAGTGGGTGGTAGAGCCCAAGGGCAGAATTCAGCTCTTTGTAGCTGCCTTGGTCAGGAAACTGTTTTCTGACTGCGATCCTTGCCCTGCTCCATTCTCACCATCCATTTTCTCCTACCAGCAACACAGCAATCCAACAGCACCTCTATGAAGAATCCATCATCTGAGTTCATTAAAATAAGGGTCCAGTAGTAAAACTGTAGGCAGTGGCAAAGCTGAAGCCCATGGTATGATGCATACACAGCCAGGGAACAGAGCTACGCTTGCCCAAATAACCTGAATATTGGCATTTCTAACTTCTGCACCATACCTTTTGCACCTGTAAGTATTCTTTCAGGGGGTTTTGGTATGTCATTTATTGTGATTTGGAAAAAGCAACAGCAACAATAACAAATCATCACTTGGCATCATGACTGCACACATGATGAAGACAGGGCAAGCAAACACTTTGCAGGCCCAGAACAGATCTGCAGCACCTTGAGCTCACAAAGCAAGCAAAACCAATCAAGACAGCCACCTGCTAATATGGGTTCACAGATACTATGAAGGGCTGAAAGACAATTACTCTCTCTGTTTTCATTCCTAAATAAGACTATTTTCTGAATATATATGCCCCCCTGCCTCCTCTTAAGCACAGCATGCAGTACCAGACACCTACCACAAAAACTTGGTAAAGATGGAAGCAAATGAAAATCAGATTTCATATTCACACTGAGATCTGCTGGCATAAATAACAAATGTTACCCTAACAATTCATCTTAAAATATTACCTTCTCCCATTCTTTCCCCTTTTATGTGGGTTGTCAGCTTTACAGGCCACAATTTTTATGCATTCAGATTTATTTTTATATACATATATAAGTACATGTTTCTACATGTTTATCTATCTTATATATAAATAGTTTTTAATGTTATATCTATAAAAATATAAAAGACTTTAGCCAAAACTTCATTAAAATATTAATAAATCAGACTTTGGGGAGGGGGAACAGGGAAGAAAATATTTTATAATTTATGTAAATGAAGCATCCATTTTGGATGCTTTGGAAAAGAATAAAGCAGGCATTTTTGGAAAACAGGCATTTGATGAAAAACTTCCCAACTAAATGTGAAATACATTAAAAATATACTGCAACGGCAACCTCTGATTCTTTGGCACCATATTTCTTGCTGAACTGCTCATTTATGGACTACTAGCATAAGCTTCAATACAAATGGAATGTAATTAAACATCCCCAATTCAAGATGCCTGTGAACTAAAAATAATAAACTCATTCAGGTCTCAAATGAAAAGCCAGATGTTATGAACTGGGGATTTCATAACGATGATGCTTCCCACCTTCCCTTTTGGGTTCCCTTCATGCTATTAAGACATGTAGTAAGCAAATACCTGATCACATTACAGAGCAGAGATTAGTAAACCAGATCTACTGTGATTCAACCATCTAACTACAGGCAATAAAACTAAATGATTTTTTTAATTAATCTTTGAAGTAGAGCTTTTCTTCATAGACAGACACCTGATCTTGATTGAAAGTTGCTGTGAAATCAACTGTATATGGCAGTGCAATGTTCTGCTGTTATCCTTCCTATAAAAATTTGCACCTTTAGTTTTGAATTAAGTTTATCTAACCTTCCTGCCCCCGGATCTGCTTATGGATTTGTTTGCTTAACCTATGGGCCTGCTATTGCAGAACTGTTCATTGTGTAGGAGCACAGAGGCAGAAGAAGGTCATGTCTTCAAACTCTGGCCTTGTCTTTTTGAAGAGAAGCGCACCCAGCTTTCTCAGCTCTTCTCTGATTTTTTTAATCAGAAGATCTACTTGGAGTAGTTCCAATTTATGAACCCAACATGTGGGTGCCAAACTAAATAATTACTGTAGCTTAATACAGAAATTATACAACATCTTGACTGTTGCAATACATCTTTCCTCTGCTGTATGCTTCCTGTTTATATAACCACATTTGTATTAGCTCTTTTCACCAGGAATATTTGGGAACTCCTGGATTCAAGAGCCACCCATCATAATTTTGTTTCTGGATGTAAGACTTCATATTTGACTGTATTCAAATGCACATTTTGTTACCTTGCTACCACTTGTCAAGTGACCCATATGGCTCTGTAGCACTTGCTTGTTCTCTTCACTGTTCATAATTTCAAACACTTCTATATCATTTGCAGACTTTTTCCATACAAAGTTTAATTTCATGTCACAAAACACCAAAGAGCATATGACCAAATAAGTAACTCCGTTCTATGTGAAACTGTTGCTCAGTAATTCCACATTTAGAACGCATTAATTAGCCAGCGTTAACACAGCAGGTATGTATCACTGAGTTTGCCTTGTTACGTATTTTTAAATTCTGTGCAAAACAAGCCCCAACTGTTTGGTCCATGCGACCATCTAAAAACTTTTCCAGAATGAATGACCGTCATGGCTCCAATTACACCTTCAATACCACAGTACTCAAATCCTCATCATTTGCTCTCTCTGCATATGAATTTCACTGTGCAGAATGACTGGAAGAAACATGCACAAATTGTGACAGCAAATGTGTTTTTATTTAGACTACAGTTAGAGAGCTCTTTCAAGGAGAAGAAAGTACTAATTCCTACCCTTTGTTCCCAAGTCTGTTTCTGTTTGGGTTTGTTTTTTTTCTTTTAATGGGTCTGGGTTAAAAGAACAAAACCAAAAAATACCCTTCAAAAAGATAAGGGAAGATTGTTCTGTCCTTGCACAGCTACTTCTGGGGAGGAGGAGCTGGACAGCAACCTCTGCACTTAGTCACCCAAGGTTTATCTGAGCTCTGTTCTGGAACATACTGTATCTTAGCATATAACATGAAAACTACTAATTGCTCCTCCAGATAAAATCAGAAATTATCATGTCAAATAAACTGTATTTTCTAGCATTAATTATATTGCACTGTTTTTAATTCCTGGTTAACCAAGTCCTTGGTCAGCCTTTTCAAGATTTTATCTAAATTTAGAGTCAGGCTGTTAAGTCTAGAATAAGCAGCTCATCCTGCCCAAGACAATATTAAATTTCTTCCAAGTGTATCTTGATTTTCCACATGTGACAAGTTTGGGGGTAGTGGTGGAATAACAGAAAAAAATCAAGATAACTCTGCAGAAAATAACATGAAGTTTTAGACAGAATTTGGAAAACTAAGCCTGTATGCCTAATGACTCTGCTGTTTCATAGCTTGATGAGCCAGGAAAGGCAAGTGGTTCAGCATCAGTTCAGGATATCAAAACACAGTGAGTTGTTGTTTTGGGTTTTTTTTTTTGGTTAAAAAAAAAAAAAAAAAACAGCAAAATACATTCCTCATTTTCTGTATTGTTAATTGTTAAGTTAACTTTCTCTGTGGGTTGCTTTGCTCCTTCTTTTCTTACAATCACAAGCTTCCAAATATAGATTTGTCTTTTCCTCCCCACCTTTGATTTGTTACACACCATTTCCAAACTGGCTTAATATTTTCCATAATGTTAAAACTTTTAAACTACCACTTTCCTCTGTGGGATGTTGGTTTGTTGTTGTGGGCTTTTTTTAAGCCATTCTTTGTCAAAGCATGTGACTTATCATTTGTATATTTCACACTTTCTGCAGTGTAAAATACATAGGTATTTTACATATATGTTATACATTTATGTTATAAACATAAATCCATGTAGACAGGGAGGAGGAAAAAAATAAAAAGTACCTAACTGGTTCAGACTTGATCATGACTTGAAACTTTCAGCACTTCCAGTTGTGTGTTTCTTTATTTCACACAGTGGGATGTAATGCCTTTTATTCAGAGCTGGATGCAAAATGTAAGGAAGTTGCCATCTCTGTGTTTAGAACACTCAAAGTTACAGTACAACCAGAGGGAGACGTGGTATGTACTCCTCAGCTTGAAATCTCCCACAATATCCTCCTCTCTGCTTGCTCATCTCTTGGACGGTCAAATCGTTCTCATCTGTAGTGTGACTTTCATCTTACACTCTGTCATAAACATTTAAAATCATTTCCCTGAGGGTTATCTTAAAAAAAATCACAGATAATTAATAACACCATTGCTGACAACATCAGATGTCCTCAATACGCTTAGGTCTGTTTCAGTTTTCTGATCATAAATCTACATGTGAGGTGGAGGGATTTTCTGGTGGTGGTGGTGTTTGGGGGGTTTGTGTTGTTTTGGCTGTTTTTCAAAGCTTACCTTATGGAAGCAAATGTTCCTCAGAGTAGACTTTGGGGTAAAATATTATGATGTTTTCACTCACGTTTTTCACACAAAATATTCACTGAATTTGCAGTACTGCTCAGCACACTACCTTCCAATTCCCTTACAGCAAGAGATGAATCTTAAAAGTCTCTTTTCACCAAGGAACTGAAAAGAATAGAACAAAAATCTCTGATAATTTTTTGGGGTTTGTTTTTTTGTTGTTTTTTTTTTTATTGTTTGTTGTTTGTTTGTTTTTTTAACTAACTCCCACAGCTTCCCCACCTAACATACTATTAGTCATCAAGTTTTTTTTTTAAATCTCATCAAGTGCTTTTTGATCTTTGGATTGTTTTGTGTTATACAAGTTGTTCACTTTTTCAGCACAGGAAAAAACCTAATCCGTGATTGTATACATAGTTGCTTTTTTTCCCTCCCTTCTTTGCTATATATTTATAACCTGGATCAGATGTCCACACTGGAAACAGAACTCTAAAAAGTCCACAGTGATTTCACAAGAGACGCCTTAACTTGATCCTTGGCTCATTTCCATCTAGCTGCCTTTTGGAGAAGAAAGTTCACTTCCTTCACCACCCTTCATTTTATTGGAATGGAAAGTGAACCAAAGGGAAACAGTAAGATTCCAACCACAACACAAAGGAAAAACTAAAAATTCATCTCCAAATGAGAAGCAGAGAATGGCGAAACTGAGGACTACTACTTCAGGGGGTTTTCTGCTGCACAAGTTAATCACAGCTGTACTCAAATTAGTGCAATTATAGAATTAACATCTGCATACCAACACACAGGGACTGAGGACTCCATCACTGCTCAAAATTGAAGACGAGCATCACTAAAGCCCTCCAAAATAATTTTGTTTTCAAAGAATCACTGAATCCCTAAATGTTGTCAGCAACTTCTGTGGAACATGGTCGTAATTCCATAAAAATGTGGACGGTTTGATTTGCTGATGGCATTAGTTAAGAACAAAAATGCTTTGGCTTGGAATGGCTGGCACCCTGCAGCCCTGCTCATCAACTCCAGTGTATCTTACCCACCCCAGCCTGTTCCCATTATTACTCATGTACTAAAGATCTGCCATGCATAAAAAAACCTAAAAGGTGTTATTAAATTAGCATCCTAATCTGTAAAAAAAAAAAAACAAACAAACAAAAAAAAAACCAAAACATATAAACCCATTAAACTTTATTTTCTTTATTAATAAAGTGAATAAAACAGCAAAGCAGGACAATGGAATAATATCAGTCCACAGAGATATAAACAACAGAAGCCAGGCTGATCCTTTTCATTAAGGAGACAGAAGAAACAAGGAAAAAATGAAGCTATGCTCTCAAAGTAGAAAAAGACTGATTTAAAAAAGATGTTTTATTATAAAGTTTTAAGACATTTTATACATTTTCAATTTTTTTGAGAATTTAACAAAATTTTAACTAAAAGCAATAAATATCAGATTATCACATTTGCAATTTGACTGACATAAGGAATGCTTTAAATGAAAACCTTTCCAAGGCAGTGACAACGTTAGAAACGGATATCAGATACTTCTAAGATTTGCCAAAGAGGCTTCATCTCATCATGCAACAAACAAGTTTCTGAGTTAACAGAAAATACAACACATTCACAGGCAAAGAAAATTCCATTTCTTCCCAATTATCTAAACAAACAGATAACATTACAAATACGAAGCAGTAGTCCTATGGGAAAAAGCAAACAAACTCCTCATTAAAAAATGTCCTTTGCTAAGCACTTCTACATACACTGGAAAAGTGACCAGCCTACTGATGCTGTTATGCAACCCTTATATACATATATGCATGTTGATTTTCATATACAGTGAGGAGTGATGAGACACAATCAATGATCTAATTAGTATCAAGACTCGAGTCTTACACAATTTCCCAGATAGAGAAAATCAAGACATCATGTCACTCTACAAAACAAAAGGGATACGAAAGATTTAGATGAGCCTAGTTTCATATACCAACTCTGACTGTGATGGCAGACTGATGCTTCCCAGAAAGCTGAAGCATCTTTGCCCTGCAATTGCACCTGAATATTTTTTCCCCATTATTGTATATGGAAAGAAAACTTCTTTGCTCTGACACCTGGACACAAACTACTTGAAAAGTCTTATTAGCACAAAAAAATAAAAACATTTACATGGAGGATTACACCCAAATACGACACACCTACAGAACACCTTGGAAAGAGCCTACAAATTAACATTAACAAATAAATGAATTTGCAAGCCTGTTCTGAATTAACTTTTGTTCTGAAGCAACTTTAGTCCATCATCTCAGACTAGGCTTTGACTTTACTAGTGACAATGTCATGAACCTTTGAAATCTAAATTTATCAGTTAATTCAACAGGAAAACAACAAATTGCTGACTTCAAACAGCCACCTTGTTTAATACAGATTGCTGAAGGTAAATCTAATTGTAAAATAGTATGTGCTTGCTAAACAGTCATTCAACAAACACTATGACTAACAAATCCCACTTTCCTACATGTTTGTGCCATGAGGCTGACTGACCTTGTAAAGCTCTTTCCATGCTCAAGACATTTATGAAATCACCCTAACTTACGCCAGCTCCTTAGAGTCTCACACTTTTTCTTCTTCAGTTAAAGTACTAATAAAGTCTCTCTCCTTTACTTGACCTTCTGTTTTTATAAATGTCTTTGAGACATTTATTCCTCCTCCCTTTGAGATATTTGCCAATATATATTAAAAGGGCTAATAATTCAAAACTAACAAGTGATGAAGCCCTAAGACAGGCAGAGAGCCTAATCATAATCATTTCTTCTAATGCAAAACAAATTTAATCATTGAACTCTTGAGTTTTATATGGTCATTATTAGATCCTTCCTAGGAGAAAGGTATTCTTGGTAGATAGGCAAAGCATGGCAACTTTCATCACATTTGTGTGGTACTACCTGCAACTCTCAAAAGATGATGAGAACAGAGAAATTGCACTGAATCACAGAAAGCCTGAAATTCTGGAAGTGCCCAGTTGAAGTTCTGCCTTGCCTGGAAATTAAGAGTGATGTTGGAACTGTTACCTATTTTGACCTAATTAACTCCTAAAACTCTAGTGAAGACAAAGCAATTGTTCTTCCAAAAGTGCTAAACCTCACAAGTTAATGCTTAAGCTTCCCCCTAGGCTTTAACTCATTAACTAGAGGTGTTAATTAGATCGAGCTAGGTAAATCAGTCAGGATCACACCTTTAAAGCCTGGACTAGACAAGGCCTAACCCTCATATATATTGAGTGGATAGATTTATTAGCATGCTTATTAGCACAACTGCCTAGAAAATATCCCACCAGGCTTGTAAGCATCAACGCCTGTAAGGTGCAAGAATATAAACAGATTAAAGGTTTATTGCAACAAAAAGAAGTGATGACTCTTACCTTGGGCTAAGTGAATACACACCAGTTAAACTGAACATACACTTTTGCTTTAACTGGACATAGGCTACCATCTTTCAGTATTACATAAACGATAAAGATCTAGCTGTAATATCTCTAAATGACACCTTCAGCAGGGTATTATCTGGTACTGGGTTTGGCTTCTGAACTCAATGATAATTCCAAACACAGTCCTGGTATATGGAATTACATCCATAGCACTGTGCATTCATTGCAAGATCAGCTAGACTTTTACTGAGGGATAATCTATTCTGTACACTTGACAAAAATAATGGCAAAGGGGAATACATTTAACAGGTTAAGAGTATGCACAGAAATCTCAGGTTTAACTGACAAAAACTTGCTTGCACTCTACGAACACGATTTCCCTTACTCCAGACTAAATAAGACTCTAAAGATTCTAACTGAGAAGAAAGAGCAGCTCATTACTTCCTGAACATTTTAGTAACGTGAACGAGTGACTCTGGGGAGGGGCAGAGTAGGGGCCATGCAGGCAAAAACCTGTGTTTTCCTTTTACTACAGCTTCAGGTGAAAAAATCCCAGAACAGCACCATGTAAGAGCATCGAGAGCACAGACTACTTCAGAGATATTACAAGAGGGATTTATCAATTTAGTATTTCTATTTTTAAAAAAATATAGAACTCCAGATTACCTTCTGCACCAGGAGTTCTCCAGCTTTTTGAAGTTGAGCAGTTTTATTTGAGGTTATCACACAACTGGGAAATCTTGCTGCAAAAACTTTGACAGATTACAATACTGTGGTTTTTCTAGAGCTATCTTGCTGGAAACAGTCCTTACATTCATAGCCCTCTGAAGATGTTAAGCATGTGCCAAGACTCCTATTTTAGGCTCATCTTCCATCTATCTCCCTTATAAGGACAAATTTTTCCAAGTTTGAATCAATCCAAAGCACTGATTATATATGAAAAATATCATGCTGAAAGCCTAATTACTGAATAACTATTAAATTAGTTTTCCTTAACTTTTGCAAAATAATATAGACTATTAAAAATATAAAAGCAAAATCCTAAATTCAGTTTCTCTCAACCAGTGCTACCTCCTTTCAGAGTCTGAACCCAGGACCAAGTGCAATAACCACTCTTCACAGAGCTTAAGAAGTGCATACTTTAATAGTTTTCTAATTTCTTCCCTTATCCAACAAGTAGTCCAAATATAGGTTTTATAGAAGGAGATTTTTTCACTGTACTGCTGTAAAATTACATTCTTATAGTTCTAAACTGATTGTTCTAAAATGTTGCATATACAATTATGTTTCTTTAAATCTGCTTCACATTAAACAGAAAAGACATAGCAGTGCTCTAGCCAAAAATATAAAAGAGTATTTCTACAAACTGTCCATCTCTTAGGTGAGTTAAGGCAATATACCAACTGTACACATGTAGCGCCTCACAAATGATGTAATCAGCAGCAGAATTCCAGTCTTATCAGAGATTTGAATGCTTTCCTGAAGACAATGTACTCAATTTTTCTTCCTACTGAATCTTTCTTGCCTTGGCAAGTCATGAAACTTTGGCTCCAATCTCATTAATGCCTAGATTTGATCTGATAATATTTGAAAATATCTAGATTTTCTAATATCTGCTATAACTTCACCATTCCTATTCATGAAGCAAAATAAAACAGGATAAAAAGAGGAAAATAAAAACATTTAAAAGGTATTGTATTCACCACCTTGTTATATCTTTGCAGATTTAATATCACTTTAGGAAAAAAAAAAAGAAGAGA